GTTAAACAGATTTTTACGGATTGTAATATACGCTTAAATTGTTATGAAATATAATAAATTAGTGTTTTTTTAAAAATCTTGTATATTTATATATAGTAATTTGAAATTTTCATTTTATTTTTTTTCAAAAAAAAAAAATTAATTTTAATTCTAGTGATACCCATCGAGTTTCACCATTAAACCTACAAATCTTACAAAAAACTTAATCAATCTCATTCATTAAAATACTAATTAAATTAATACTAAAAAATGTTAATGATACCCATGAAGAGTTTATGGTTAAACATGCTCTGATACCCATGAAGAGTTTATGGTTAAACATGCTCTAATAATCTCCGATGTATCTGCTCTTGCTTCCACTTGTTAGAAAACTCCAATACTTTATTTTCTTTGGCAACTCCAAACACTACAAGATATCATTATCTTATTATTAACAAGGTTACTATTGAATTTTAAAGAGTAAAGTCGCGTGTTAAATTATTGTGAAGGTATACACATTGTTGCACGCTTATTCATTTTCGCGGCCGTCATTTGCGACTTGAAATCTTCCAAAGAGCAGCTTGGCCCAAACCTCTTCGGCCACGCCACATCACTAGTAGCCTTGATCTTAGGGAACCACATCGGTGGTCCATCTTCCACCGAGTTATGCGTGAGCCTCGTCAAATCCGAGCCGTCCAAATTCACCGTAAAAATCTCACTGCTCGGAACGTTAAAATGTGGATTACCGATCGGCTCAGCCGATATCGCGGCGTGAATAGTAGTGAACACGATTCTCTTACTGTCCGAACTAAACATCGGATGCATCGATATCCCACCGGTCAAGTCTTGCGCCACTTTCCTTAAACCGGTCCCATCCGGGTGAACCACATATAAATTCAAAAACAACGTACCGGGAAATTCCCGGTTCGATGCGAAAACAATCCAATTACCGTCTGGAGACCAAGTAGCTATCGTGTCGTTCCCGTGACCGTTCGTTAGCCTGAACAAACCACCGGTTTCACCTTTCTCTGCGTCCATTATGTAAAGGTTAAACGAACCGGACCGAGCAGACCGGAACACGATCCGTTTACCGTCAGGTGATGGCCACGGAAAGGCGTTGTTTTTGCCGTTAGTCGTTAGTTTTTTAACGGCGTTTGACTGATTTGGTGCGTCGACGTTAATGGCGAGAATATCGATCTGAGATTTCCCTGGAGCTAAAGCTGGACCTGAGCTTGTGTAGACGATTCCGGATCGGATTGGATCCCAAACCATTCCAAAACCCGTTTCCGGTAGCAATTGACGAAGACCCGAACCGTCTGGTTTCACCACGAAAACGCCTGAGGAAGTGACGAACGCGAATCGGTCACCTTCCGGCGACAGAGACGGGAACTCACCGTCGAATCTGAAGAGAGATAGATCCTTCGATGTGGTTTTGAGATTTTGGAGAAGATTCCGAGGAGTGTTTCTTCCGGTTTTGTCGCCTCTGCAACTATGGTATCCGACTCGGGACGAGTCAGCTGAAAGAAACGGGTTAAAGTGATGACTCTTCGGGGATACAAAACGAGTCAACTCGACGAACTCGTTCTTCTTCAAATCGAAAAGCTCCACGTGTCGGAATTCCGTTTCTGGCCTCCTCGTCGCCACCGCGATGAAGTTGTTGTTTGGTGACGTAGCCGGTGTGAACGCGTGAAGACCCGGTGGTGTGACTCGTTGAACCGTTACCGATTCGGTCGAAACCGGTCCGGTTTTGGGTAAAACCGCTCGGTACACGCTGATCCAACCGTCTTCGCTTTTCCGATGGAAATACAGAGTTGACTCGTCGACCCATCTCGGCCAACCTCCCAACTCGACCACTTTGACTCGCTGAGTCCCATCACGAGTCAGGAAAACGTATATATCCGTACTAATCTCATTCCCTGCCATAGTCCATCTCCATCCTCTCTCTCCGAACGAAGCCACGGCGGTTAATTTCCCAGAAGGAGAAACCGCCGGCGAGAAATCAGCGATTCCGGACGGTGTTAACCGCCGAGTCGATTTAGTTCGTAACTCGGTCGAGTACACGGCGGCCCAACTCGCCATGGGCTTATTGGGATTCTCGTGAGTCGACACGTATACAAGATACTCGTTTGTTAAAAAAGGCGTATCTTTCATCGAAATTACAGTCATGCCACTCTGTTTTTCCTCCTCGTCGGAAAACAACGGAACCTGAACCCTAGATTTAGAGTTATTGCCGTGAACGACGTCGTAGCGTAAGTTCATTGTGCCGTCTCGCTCGGTGACGTAGATGAGATGGAGAAGAGACGGATCTTGTGGATGGATTTGGGATTTGTTAGGTAGAAGCGAGATTAGAGCCGGAGAAGGAGAAGCGAAATGGCCGTTGAAGTTGATGGATTTACCGTCGGTGAGACGGTGCTCGTCGGAAGGAGACGGTGGATGATGGGTCGTGGGGAGAGTGAAGATGTCGAATTCGAAAGTGGGTCTCCCTAGAGTAGTGAAGAAGATGGACGAGCCATCAGAAACCTGAGGCTTGTTGGCTA